ACGGATGTCTCCAAGGATCGGTGATTGCCACAACCCGAGTCTGGTTTGACGTAGGTCGACTCGAGGAAGGCCAAGTACAGTTAGAATCGTCGGAATTCTTGGATAATCTAAAGAAGTTGTTGGAAGCGTATAAAAAGCACGCTGAGCCAAACGTAGCCTACTACGGCGAAGTGATCTACGTTAGAGGTGAGTGGGATATTATCACTCTTGTTCATGTGTTAGGTACCTAGAAATTAAACGCATCTCAGGTTAACTAAGAAAGTAGGTTGTCGCTGTGGTTCACGCAGATGGATTAAAACTGCAAAAACAGTTTGTTGTTCATACATATATATTTTTTTTAATAAAAAAAATTGGTTAACCAGAATCAGGTCAGCTGGCTATCAATTTACCCCTCATATTACGGCATGTATCCTAATAACTGATATCCATGTCAGCGTCTAGATATTTCTTGTTCCCATTGCTGAAAATACTTGAGTTTGAGAGAATCTACAGTTTTGAATGTATCATTAAACCTTGAAAACTGAAGCGTCGACGCCTATGATTTCTTTATATCGAAGTATAATACCTAAGTCCTAAGTTAATTGAACGGATTATCAAAGGTAAATCATGTACCTACCCCTATAATACAGGATCTGTCTAAACGATTGGCTACCAGCTAAAGTAGCTGACCTAAAATTTTTCCTAAACTAGAGCTCTACCACATTTTCCCACGGAGGACTAACCTCACAGAATTTATTATGTGTAATTCACTTTTTCAGTTAGCAGCTACCTCAAGGAAACAATCAACAGAAAGCACTATCTCCCCACGAGTCGGATTTCTCTCAATTTCATGAACTTATTTAGCAGAAAGTGCCCAGTAGGACATTGTAATTTACGTTGAAAATGAAATTAACAAAGTCTACAAGTAATGCACAAGAGGCAGTCTGCCCGATTTCTATGCTGCAAATTTGACACATGTGTGATTACAAAACGCCCAGCGGTATGTAGTGGGTAGATTTAGGTTCAGATTTCAGTGTTATCCAAAGTCTTCTTTCTCGTAGCGCTGAAGTGATTAACCCTTGACTTGGCAGAGGGGATGCTGCTCGCCTTCCGGAATGGTACCACTGGTTTCCCACTGCGCCTGGTTGGAGACACTACAAGATATGGTTGCCACACTTCCGTGTCAGGGCGTTCTTGGTTTCAGTCTCTATTCAGATTGCCTGAGTGAATGTTTTGAAGTGTGTGCACCTCGGAATGATTGTGGTAAGCTAGCACTAAGTCTTTTCCCGTTCAGGTTTTTTTTATTTTCTTACAATAAGGCTTTCTAATAAATTATGGTTGTACGGCAGCGAAGCGTCGGTGCTAAACACTAATGTCATGCTCTCCATTATGACGGTGAGTGTTTTAGTCGTTTTCAAATAGTTACCTTCGCCAACTTTTGTTAAACGGCCCCATCGAAATAGTAGTGTTTCTGTTACAACAGAGTCTTCTATAGTGACACCACACCACGCTTATATGCCAAATAACTTTCGCTCAGCTTCACCTGTACGTAACTACAAGTACCAGTTATGGAATCTTTACAAACCAGGAAAACAGTGACAGTGTGACCTTCAATTGAGAAATTCGCAAGATCCCCAAGGAATGACCTTTAGAATTCAGCATTTGGAGGTGCCACATAACCGGAAAAGCCCACCCGAAAAGTAACCAAAATAGAAACTGAACTACCGACTGTTCTATCTAAATGAGTCACTTTAAGGCGAACGACATCGCTGCTGCCTCTGATCAATCAGTACAACTTAATCTAGCATTGGATCTTGTTTTCCATTTTTAACATGCTTCGACCAGATACATTCACTCAAAACCAAGGAGTAGCCAAGCAAACGTCTACATTCCCTACCGTAGCAGTTGACTTGCCTGAAATTGTACCAACATTTCATTGTATGTTCCAAAATATTCAATGAAAATTGCTTTTCTCTTTTCAGCTGTTGCTAAGCAAGCTACTCAGAGCGTCAGGATTTTGTCATTCCTCTTGCTGGCGGTGTGTGGACACCTACTATGGTGACCAGCTGCGCCGGTGATCTAGTTCAGAGGGACTAATGCTGTCACAAAACTGACCGATTTGATAAAATTTTATTCTCTGGTAATCACATATCCTCGTGCATATTCAGCGTGCCCACAGAGTATGCTAAAGGCCCGTTATCACTTGAACTTCTTGCTTCATTGCCGCTGTTCTTCCTCCTAACAGCAATGTTGTTGGCAAAGCCAAATCAGTAAGAACTGTTTGCATGGCAAAACGCCATATTTTATTACTATAGAAATGCTCTCGATGTGTAACCATTCAGTAATCGAATAATACCAATAATAATCGAATAGTTGTTCAGACGTATCTTCCTTTCAGTGCCTAGCTACCATGCGACTTGAAGGAAGCACGGGGGCTGGGGTACCGTCAGATTGTTCAAGCCTTGACTGGAGTAGTTGAGATCGCACCCTCCGGTCTGTAGGCTCGTACCTGAACCACCAAGCTATCTCATTCATCCACCTAGCCGTGCTGCCTAGTCATACTTCTCCTGTTGATTTGCATAGTAGCAGAAGGCTGTAAATGAAACTGGTTCCGTAGTGTTGTTAAGTGCGAAAAATTACCTGTGGACTTTCCATCAGTGCTGCGGGTTAAGCTCTGATAACTTGACTGAGTAGCTCTGCTGCTGAACTGAGTCACTGGGGTTTCTGTACTGCAATTAAATATCATTTAGTTCAATCACCGTCTTTTAAAAATCTTGTGTTATCAAAGTATAACTCTTAATCACTCGTCTACTGTGAAACGCGCAACTATCAACTAACAATCTATGATACTTACATGGAACGTGCATTCCCATCCCATCCCCAATCGATCAGCTGTAATACCCTTTCTGTTCCTAGGTGGATTACCAACAGAAGAAAGCACGAGAGCTGATTTATTCCCAGGTTTCCCAAACCTAGTCAGGAGCATTTGAGATCTAGAGACTGGTTTTGAACCGTAGACCTCCCGGCCAGTGGTTTTATGCCATAACCAATGAGCTGTCTCGGTTAATGCACTCAGTGCTCATCCGCTTGGTTCAGCAACATTTTGGACCCAAACAAGGAGTTAACCTTAAGGATAAATGGGCTCATATTAGCCTGAGTTAAATCAGTTAACTGGTACATATGAAAAGCATACACTGGTATGATTCGATATCCGTAGTTCAAAGGCGCTTGGTGTGTGGCATGACAAGACTACAGACGGTTCTCATTGAAATAGTCACTTAAGTAACCGACTGTATATACATACGTATGTACATGTTTGAATCCTGGTTGGAACCTGCGGTTGGTATTAAAGTGTATACAAATGACGAATGTCCTGATGGTATTTTTCAGTGACTAACGTATGTTAGTCTAACGATAAGACTTGGAACGATAATAATGAAAGATGGCAAACTATCACCAGTGTGCTTGCATTGGGATTTCAAGATTTTTGGTGTAGGATTAGCGCAAATAGTAAGACATCATTAGCTATGCAATCTTGCGGTAGCCAGCCGTGTTTGTCTAAGACGAACTATCCAAAAATCCTCAACTCGATTTAAGGCTTTGAAATCGCCCCTAATGAGAAGTCATCTCATTCGTCACCCGGAGCTTCACGATATACCTTCATTAGTCAGAATTTCCAAATGAACAAATACCGGCTTTCGGAATTCAGTTGTCAAAATAGTTTTCCAAGACATTTTGTAGTATCTCGTTCATTTAGGTTGCAGTACACCAATACGCAAAGTCGCCACGGAGATGAGATTCTGGATGTACGAGAGAAATTCGCACCGACGCTAAACCCCAATCTGATATAGCACAGTTTACTGAATATGTAGCAACTGACGTAGAGCCAACTTGCTTAAATCAGCCAGTTCAACAGGAACTGTCTCGAGTGAGCGCTTTCAGCAAAAGAGCACGTCGTTCTACTGTCCGATCAGTGTTTCCATCCTTAGCGCATCACTGATTTAAGGTAGTGGTTTTACGGTCATACGCTTAAAAGTCTGCTCTGGATACTGTTGATCGTCATCAGGGATCCGTATGCTAGAAAAGAAAGCTCACAAATTCGTATTTTGACAAAACAACCGAGCGCAACAGTGTAACATAATTGCCATCCGTGAACAAACTGTGAGTGAAGTACCTATTTTAATTTAAATGCGTGTTTTGTACCCGCCAGAAAAGTTGAAAAACTGAATGACGGGGAGGATCACAGAATGAGTAGAACCTCGTAAGGAGAAGGTTTGTTGTGCGTTTGAGTGGTTGGTACGTAAGGTCAAGAACTTGCAGACAGCGCACAACAGAATATTCAATGTATACGTTTTGTAATGCATGGATTGATTGTGTTAAAACAAGGGAAAAACGGAACGATTAGTCATGCCGTAAGTCGATTCTCCGGAAACTACTGGATCCAGCAGTCATCAGCAAGGGAAAAATTTTGCACAGACGTTCGAAAACTCGGTTTAATATCATGAACCGGAATTCCAGTCAGCCGAAGCGGACTATTCAGAGAGAGACAAAACAAATGCCTTCATTCAGGTTGGTGAAGAAGATCTCGGATTTATGTCAAGCGTCAGCACAGAAAGCTGTGTATCTACAGATTGAGTTGTACCAAGTACGCCTTCAGCCGTTTCTCCCCTAGAAGATGGTCTTTCAAGAACAGGCTTCGTCAGATTGGATCCATTTCTCAAAAGAAGCATTGGGCTCTCCTGATCGGATGGACAACTAACGTAGGTATTGATGAGTTCCAAATTGACAGTTGCTCCCGTCTTCGCCTGAAGTAGAGGCATCAGTAGTATTAAAACGAAACGTTGTTCGGCTCCTAACACAACTCAGCTAATTTCTCGTCAGTCGATTTTACAGCATTTAAAACTCAACCATCGTGATAAAAGAAATAAATCTGGGTGGATCAACTAGCCCTTCCTTACCGATAGAAACACTATCTGTTGCACAACCATTCCTAATCACCTGCGAAAGTCCTTACGTGGAGAGAAACCAAAGAAACTAGTTCCGATATTCTAACTCTTTTGGGAGTGACAGAAACTGCAGTCAGTGAAACACCCATAAAATATGGCGTCCGATAACCGTTGGTGACCATTTTCAAGCAGCCACGCCCAAACGCCGGCGCAGATACCAAAATCTTATACTAAAATATTGGCCGCACCCATAATTTTGAAGCATCCCCAACCTGGGTTTGTCCAAACTGAACTGTATGAGCACAAAATGGATTTGAATCATCCACTCTTCTCCGCTGATCCTCATGGCACCATTCTACGCAGTATAATTCCGTCGGTATCCTAAAGAACAATCAGATCATATAGTCAGAAGACGAAGATAACCGATAACATCACGTCACATATTAGGAACTCTGGCATGAAGTGGGGATTTACGTGACAATACGCCCCTGGTACAAGATACTTTTTATGTCTTCTCCGTTTATCCTTCCACTATTGCTTCTGGCACACACTGGACCCACCCCAAGTGTCGTAAGGGTCATTCGCCCTGAGTTCGGTGCGCGCCTCATGGACTTTCCCTTGTGTTCATCATTTCAGCCTTAACAGTGTCATCATAGGGGAAACCCGAATCCTATTCTGAGATCTGTGAATCTCCTAAGCAAGTTGATTAGATGAATTATGAACTGCATAAAGGATTTGGTATCGATTCCTTGACTCTCCTCAAGTTTATCTTCTACCCACAGTCATTGGCGTGTACAACTGTCTTCAGCCATAAAACGCATACTCAGGCCGCCTTATCCTTTCCATTCTATTCTGCCTTACTTCGTTCACATCACCTGACTTCTGGGATAACGGATTTTATGTGATAGAATCGGTACCCAATTATGGCGTAAAAACTTGAGTGTTGTTTTTTCCAGTACGAATTCGCATCAATGTTCCTCAAAGACAAGGAAAGGCTAAAAGGCCGAACTTCCTCCACCCCGGTCAATGGAACCAACAAATCTCCGATTATTCCCCCTTACGAATACGCTAAGAAAAGGAATGAATATCAAAATCTGCAGGGGTCTTTCATGTAAGGTGTCGTCGTTTGGTAACAAGTTAACACGTGGCTACGTAACACGAGTTTCGTGACTGGAGGTATAGTGATGTGGTATCCTTTCTAAACGTAAGCTAGTCACAATGTTAACCAGACACTCGCGGCAGAATGGTAAGGTCCCCAACCACTCGTTTGGAAGACTTGCTGTGGAGATTGATGAGATGTGTACCGCTGACGATATCCAACAATGGTGAGACAGCTGTACACACACATTACAGATTACCAGTAATGTTGAAGTGTCTGCAAAGACGTTTATCCACAGTATGTGAGCTGATGCTTGGAAAGATCTCATAAAAATCCGGGAACCACAGGGGGCTTATGAAGCTTCTTCTGTGATAGTAAGTGAAATAGCAGGAAATATGGTTCATGATACCGATAGTGATTATAGCGCGAATTTGCTAACCGGAAGGTCCAAGTTTCAAACCCGACATCTGCATCCAAACTTCTTCTATCTAGGCTTGTGCAACTTAACAGCATCCCAACCGCCGTGCTCCCTTCGAGGAGCATGGCAGCTAGGCAGCGAAAGGGTGATACAGCTATATGTTGTACAGATAAAAAAGAGACTCCCGGATAAAAATTGCTTTGTCTTGAAAGGGCTACTAAGACCTCATGTAACATGCAAACAGGATCAGCACAGTTAGAATCCACAAGCATTCATTCGGGTAATGTTTGGCAGTACCTTACAGGCGGAGTATCGACTATGTTCAAAAAAAGTCCACCCTTCAAGATTCCATAAAAAACGATCCGCAGAGGGAGACGCATAACATGTTCTTCTATCAAGCACCGGCTTCGGAGACACTTCGTACTGCAAAGGGGGAGATTTCAGGTCTCATTAGTGTGTGAGTGATTTTTGTGAAGTGAGTTCCCTGCCGACTTGGTGAAAATTCTCATGAGCTCCCAGTTCGCACAAATTTTCCATGACTTTCAGAGTAAATTATGACCGACTGGGTTTTCCGAACAACGCGATAAGTTCAACTTATTTTTCGAAGTGCTTGCTGTCATGGAATCTTCCGACCACTTCTGAAACTGTTCAGAAAGATAAAACTGTTGCATCCTCATTGGGGTCAGTTATTCCTCTGAATTACGTCTTCAGGCTTTTATTAAATCATGTGTTGCATGTACAAAACTGTGCACATTTTCGATGCCAGTCAACTTTACTTCCATTTTTGGGGCAAATTATCTTGAAGGAGCTTCGACCATGTAGTTACGGAGCTCCCCCTCACAGCTCTAGTTTATGCGGATAAAAGAGATGAAAAGTGTGTTTTCAGTGATTTGCTTAAAATTAGATGCGATATTGACTAAACTTAACTCATTAGTTAAAGTATTAACGATTGAAGTTACTGACATTTTGCAAGGTCTGTAGCAGAATAGATCTCCGGTGAACGAAATGGTGAAAAGTGCCCTTTAGGTGCCCCAAAACGGTGCTACAGTCGTGCAACAACGTAAATTTCAAGTATACGGAACTGATATACGCAAAAATGATTGACGTTGGGTAACAGCTAACTAACAGTATGCATTGGCGTGTAAGATGCACATTGAGGAAACTGTCACAGCAAGTCGGATGCTAATTTCCACCTCGCCAATAAAAGCAAACTAGAAATTATTTCACTAGTAACCTTTTCGGACGATTAAATGTAATTTTTTTGAGAGAGCAAAATCAAACGAGTTGTAAAAACCTAGCGAATTTACACAGTGCAAAGCAGGTTTAGAGCCAACAATGGTAAAAAAAGAATAGAGCACTTCAGTGGAACACGCTCCCAAACTCAGTTGTACAGTCTAAAGAATAACAAAGCCCACTACCACGGGTTTACATCTACATATCATAAGCATATCAGTAGCATGCACTCTTGACTGTCAGATTAACTTTGCGAGGAGATCAACAACTCTAGATCGGAAATACGAATACAACAAGAATGTTTGTTCTATTGATCTACAAAACAGTTGTTCGGGGCAAGCTTTTGCACGTTGACTTCATGTATGAGGACATAAATCTACTACATTTATAGCCGATGCATTTACGTCTAAAAACCCCTAAAAATCTTACTTTTTTGTAATCTAACATCATTTCTTTAAATGACACGAAATCTGTGAAGGTATACAGCATTTCGAATATCTCTCCATCGAGGTCGCCTTTGTTCTCACTGAAATGGAAGAGAAGATAGAATATTGAAACAGTCCTTGAGGTTTCGTTTACCTAGATAATGCGTAATTTCAATGGACTTGAACGCTAGAAAAAGTCATGGATCAATCCCCTACTATGAGGGACTGCAAAGGATGCTTTCAATTTTGATGAACCGATGGATATTGTAGTGCGAATGGATCACTGCGTTATTTACAGTTCAGATAACACAAATTCACTCTTTACGTCCATAGTCAGCAGTATTCGTACAGTGTAGCACGGGCTATCGAGAAACTGAAAGTTCGCAAGCATATCACATATCATACCTTCAGATTAAAGAGCTCAACTGGTATTCGTTCGCTAGACGCAGCACGCTGTCACAGAGCATTCAATAGTACGCGTTTGTTGCGAAAAAAACAATACGATTCAAGGAGCAGTTTGAACATCATGCAAAACGCCCAATTACAACAAGTTCGAAAATACAGTTCAGAAACCTACTCCATTCATATGACATTCACGGCTAACATACTAAGGGCGCATTGCCTGGGTGTGTTACTGTTTCGTCGCATGCTTTCAGACAACTCGAGGGAAGGCTAAGATGCCGACAGGCCTTGCAAACCGGGATAACAGAAGTAGAAAAGTCAACGGTGGATTCAAATGGCTGACCTTGCTACGCAAATCTGATTCAGCCAAAGGAGCCCCTGCATATCAGGAATGAGTGTTGACAATTCCCTCGTAAGCATATGAAATAATGCCTCTGCAGGAAAAGGTTGTTGCACAGCCAAAAGTTCTGCTGCAGAAATCTGTATTCGGAGGTCCATAACATGGGCATTTGGCTCCTGATTTGCTGTGGACCCGTGAAATAAATATGCAAATAACGCAAAGTTGTGACGATAACGCTGGAGAATAAACGGTAGCCCAAGCGCTGACAGGGAGTTCTTGATATTAAGAGGCGTTACTGATTTGCTTCTCTCACAATATAAACGATCCATCCGCTTAATTGTTCTCTCTGGAGGGTAAAATATTTTGACGCAACTTTCTATGCTAAATTTTATGGTCTGACAAATGTACCGAGGGCTCTTGCCTCCAAACGATGAATTTTACAGCAGAATCGGAAACCTACAATCAGATTCCACGAGACTCTCTCCCTTGAAGCCTTAATTCAGCATCATATCCTGACATTCGTAAACGCGACAGAAAACAGAATGGACTGCAACCCTACCCTCATCACCAATTTGGAAATTCAAGAAACATTGATGAAAACAGAAATCATACTACTGGAAGACACGTGGTTGCGCAGAACGCACTGGTTATCATCATCACCAGCATTTACAACAATACACCGGCAATAAACGCTGATGTTTAACTGTCATATAGCCATGGGAAAGAGCAGAAAGAATCGACAAGGGGAAAAATCTATTACGATCAACAGTAAGATATCCACACCCTGCAGAAGCAAGGAGATAAACACCTTCCAACATTTGATCGAAGTATGATGCCATCAATGGAATTCTCTCAACGTTGTTTGCTGACCTCAATCAACGACAGCCCATCATACAAAGACAGACAAACATCAGCTAGGTGGCCCGGCTAGGAAGTAACAGCATGCTGGGCACTGGGACGGGCTGTGTCATGTTTCGTCCAGCTCCCAAGCAAATCACGCGGAACCGAACCAGAAATGCGCAAATATACCACAGAACCTAATTTAGCTGTAGCTATCCTTGTTCTGCGTTGCCCTGTCGTGACATGTCCACGCCGGTCTTTTGTTACCAATAGTTTTGGAACTAAAACAATGCTCTCTTTGGTGGATGGCGGTCTGGCACAAGAATTACATTCCAAAATCATCTCGACCTAACCTGAAACAACTGTGACGCAAGATCGCTATATTAATTGCCTTGCACACAAGACTTCAACCTCAGTGAAGTCCACTTCTGATGGCATAAATGAAGCCAGCTGATAAATGTTGCTGGCGTCCTAATAGTGTGTGCACACGTTTTCTGCCACGGTACAGTATTGGTTTATGCAGCCCTCCAGGTTGGTAAACTAGCCAACAATTTGAGTCCCTATAAAGCTTTAGAGGTCTACAGGACTTTAAATCCTGAATGAATGCTTTGCGTTTTTTTCAGAATCACAGCCGGAATTCTGCCTAGAATGGACTGTGTGGACTGATAGTCGTCAAACATTAGGACAATAACGTCCAGGTCTGCTAGGCATGAACACTGAGATAATCAATTTTATTGAGATGAGTACTTCGCAATATTACCGGTGACAAACTAATGCAGGAAGATATAGATAGCGAGTAGCTCTGCCAAACACTACTAATCATGGTGAAACTTCTGAACACTTCTTTCAAAACGCCCACAAGACCAGAAGGCCAAACCGGCAGCACAAAGTATGTTAAAAGTCTTCAGGGACATCTCTCTTCAATATCTCATTTGAAGTCAAGGAATAACTCAGCTACTGGTCACCTGAGTGCATGGCTCTGTCCAAACACTTAAAGTAACATGAAGATGTGATCATTCCACCACCCGTCGATGGGTCATCCAACTTGATGCTCTCAGATTTGCGTTTACGTCTCGGAGCTTGGCGTCCCAGATATACTGAAGACAGTAGCTGCGTTATTACCAGCGTGCGGCTAACGCCCTATGGTTAAAAAGTCGTCTCATGGACCTTTCTTATGTGACGGCTCCAATTCTCTGGAATGTGTCCTTATTCCAAAAACAAGTTCAAGCATTGTAGTTATGGCTAAACATAGGGAAAACTACACCGTTGATGCGAACTCATCTGGTCCGGTGGCTCAATGGTATTCCTAGACAGGATTTTAACTCACAGACTACAAATTGAATTCAGTGGGTCGTATAAAGAACCCAGCTACCGGAGCTGATGGTGAAGTTCACCGTTGAAATCCTTTCGCTTAGTGATCAAGAAACTGGCCTTTATTATGTTAGGTTTTCATCAATACCTATGGAGGGCTTATTAACACATTATTTTGCTGGTCACCTTGAACATTTTGAACTTCCTCGTGACCGGTAGCTATGTGATCGGTTTGGCTTCACCTGGTAGTGGGTGGACACAAAGTAGCACAATGGCGTCCAGTACGCCCTAACCTACTATTGCTGAGGAACAACTGGTGATCAGGATGGAAGTATCATAGACGTTCAGCAGCATCACCTTGTCTTTCATGAACTTAAATTGCTACCAAGTCGCGCCTTACATGAAATGAGACGTCCAAATTTCTTACTTTACATCCTGAAGGCTTTGTAGGTCAGAACAAAAATCATTGATGTACACTTCATGAGCTATATCAGCGTTTTTGATTTAAACATTCAATAGCCCATTTGCATTAACCTTCTGGGGCACACACCAAAAACATCCTTTCTCTCCTCTGGCACTCCTTATACTGGTGCCAATATTAAACGCTATCACTTCGAAAGTGCTACCAGAATCAGCGCTTTCAATTTAGATGATGAAAATGGAACCACTGACAACTAGTATGGAATGGCCTGTGGAGTTTACTTTTTACCGGTTATATTCGCTCTCTAAACGTTCTCTTCGGTACTTGATTAGAAGCTGATTTGAGGAAATATACAAAAGTCAGCTCCTGTACAGCATGCATATTTATTCGAAAAAGACAAGCCTAAAAATATATGACGATGCATTCAAGCTAAACGCATCCGAATTCCTGAACGTATTGACACTGAGGCAGGTTGAACAATTCCAGTGGTCCAAACATAGCTGGTAATGTGATGACATATGATGATCTTTAGTGGAGATTTCGTCCTGTGAGTAAGAGTAATCTGCGCTGATAATACGAGAAGTACGGTAAAACCCATTTATCCTTATTGGGAATCATCATGAGTGCACAATTCACAAGACTCCATGTAGTTCCAAATCCATGACCTCGCACTCATTAGTTAAAAAACTTGACTGTCAAGAGCAGCTGATCATTATTGTGATTAACTCGCATTTATGCTGGATATAGCGCCACATGACACTTAGTCAGGAAAATGGCGCTGATCGCGAACCTGTGTCAGTGTAAAAATATGATTGACGAGTCCTCGGGCAAGGCAGAACCCAGCTTGATTCTCACTAATCTGTCTCTCCCAGTGATTGATCAAACAGTAAAGATAACACCACGTAGAGCCTTCGATGACACAACTAACAGAGTACTGCCAAGACGGATGTTGCATGCTTTTCTTTTGGCCGTTTTGAATATTTGAATTACGATCGAAGTGCTACATTCTAAGCTATTTTGTTTTCCAGATCTTCTGAACAGCAAGGCAGACCCAGCTTGATTCTCACTAATCTGTCTCTCCCAGTGATTGATCAAACAGTAAAGATAACACCACGTAGAGCCTTCGATGACACAACTAACAGAGTACTGCCAAGACGGATGTTGCATGCTTTTCTTTTGGCCGTTTTGAATATTTGAATTACGATCGAAGTGCTACATTCTAAGCTATTTTGTTTTCCAGATCTTCTGAACAACCGTAGAAGGATTGTTAGAATGCTCCCTACCTTCAGAACCATTATTCTCTTCCTTGAGCGGCAAAAAGTCCAGACCACCCGGACAGAGCGCCTTGAAGCGTTAGAAAGATGATACCTCACGCTGAATTTCTTGTACTGACAGTGTGCTAGTGTCAGAGATTATGTGGAACGAGGCCAGCTGAACTGCTATTTAATATGTTAAGACAATCGTTCAGTACAATTTTTCCGTGAATGAGTTGCCGCTCCATCAGATAAAACATGGCGTGACTGTTATCTGCAGCAAAATTCTTCCAAATCTCCGGTGCTTTCGCAACCGATAGGCGTCTTCTGATATTCCTCAGGTTACTGGTAATGCGGCTTCCGAAAGAGCTGTTAATCAGCACAATCGCTAGGTTTTTGTACATCATTTTGGCAGAAATAAAATCAGCTGTCCGAGACTATATCCAGCAGTCAGGTGATCAAATCGAATGATAAGGATCAGAAATCCCTAAAATATTGGAACATAGCTGGTTTGCTGTTTCATTCAGTCCCAAA